TTTATAATTATAATAGTATCGGTGGCGTAGATATATTTGAAATAGATCCGTGAATATGGTTTTATTGACGATATTATAAGCTAATACAATGTGTCTTTCTAGTGGTAAGGGTTCGATTAGTGACTATACGTTTATGGGACCCATCTTTTTGTTTATCCTCATGACTCGAGCAAGATGGTGGAGCTTCCACGTATCCACTTTCATCGCTATCTTCTTCGGATAACGAATCCAAGTCTACCGTTCTTTTCTTTATGCTAGACACGTCTGATCCGCCACTAGATATGCTCTGCAAGCTGGGTGTAGACTCATCGTCTGGATACCCACAGTCTTTATCCTCTCCACAACAGTCCTCTTCTTCTTCCTCCTCGTCACAATAGTCTTGGCAACCTTCGAACATCATTTTTCTGTTCTTAACCAAGTTGTGGTACAATCTGAGCGTTTCAGAATCTGCACTATGCCGCTTGGATCGCACATCATACTGACCACCACTAATACCTTCAAATAGTTTCTTTCTATCCCGAACCAAACTGTTGTACTTATAGCACATGTCATCTGGACCTTGCGGACAGTCAACTATCACCTCGTTATACTTAGGTAAGTTGCTACAAACCAACAAGTTTTCCGGGTTACTCACAATGTCTCTGTATAGAGGTAACTCGGGTTCGCAACAGTCATTAATTGCGGTGGGTACAGGTAACGGCTCGGGAGCCACAGTGGTTTTCTCATCAATTGGATCTTCTTCGACCAATTGGGTGACAGCGAGTCTACTTTCAATATCCGTCATAGCTGACTCTTTAAGGCCATGTAAACCACCCAACCGATTCCTGAGGGTACCGGTCCGCAAACGATTTTCTGCTCGACATCTTCTGAATGGCATATCTGCAGATTCTTCGTCCTCTTCAAGACTTTCTTCAATTGCCATCAATCTAGGAGCTGACTTGGACCGTTCTAAAGGAGGCCTGTAGTTGTGTGATCCCGTCGATAACAATATTTTACGCCGTGGTAATGATGGATTCTCATACACACTATTAGCCAAAGACAGACGGGCATTTTGTCGACTGATCTTGTCTCTTTTGAACTCGTTCAATGCTTGCGCTAATCTGCTCTGCAACTGGCTGGCTATCTGTTTAGCTACAGATTCTTTTGAACACACTACAGCATGGCACCTAAGTTCTTGTTTGAGTTTGCGACCTTCGTGTCGGTATACCCAACAGAATATTCGCGGAAATTGTGGTGATGCCAGACAATATGTGATACGATGACTCCAATATTCAGTCAAACCATGTTCCTTAGTGAACGCTTTTAGACCTGACTGTGTAATGGTCAACTTCATGTGCACATCCGGTTTCTGATTACACGTATAATTCTTCCACAGACTACATAAAGGTTTTTCTACACAAGTTTCACCTGTAACACCATAAAAAAAAAATACGTTAATAATGACTGATAGTTTGTAATCAATTTTGAAATGAATTCGAGACTTTTCAAAAAAAAAAAAAGTAAGGAACCCCTACATATTATTATTATTGAATAGTTTATTTGATTTTTTATTGTTTTTGCTAATGATATTTTTATTTTACAAGTTCGCAATATTGTGGCGTTCATCAAAATTATTCGTATCACGAATCGCGGATATAATGAACAGTGCATGGTATTCACAAAGCGCGTTTGATTTGGCAACACAATATTATTATTATTGTCTTATACTCGGTGCGCGCTACTTTGTGTTAGTTTTAGATTAACGCCCCGTACATTTGAGAATACTGTAC